ACCACCTCTGAGACGAGGTTGTTGTAATCCACCCAACCCTCCTATGAGGTTAATTGATCTCGGTGCGCTGTCAGTTTGTCCTCTAATCATTTATTGACATTCTTCACACTCCACCCTCTATCACATGAGCTGGCATTATCTCATTCCCCTGATGAAACTTTGCACTTAACTCCGCCCCAGCGGCAGCCCCAGTACGCCTATCCTGCTCCACCGTATAACGTGATTTTGAGCTGTTGACTGCAATTAGTCCCTGTGGCAAATTTCTCCGCCTCACTGACCCAATTTACGCTTTTTGTCACACGGACTATTAACTAAACTGCTCAAAGCCACACAGCTTCAGCTGTGATTTCTAGTTTAACTTCCACTTGGCCCGCTGGATTAGTGGAGTTTTCCAGCTTCTCCATATCCGTTGTTTTGCTTTTTTCATTTTACTCAATTTACAGTTTCTTATCATGTGCAAAGAATGCTCACCCAGTTCAGACCTCCTCCTGTGTGTCGTTACCCACTTTCAAACTGTAACGGTATGGACAATGAATGGAGATCTGATAAGCACAGTCTCCTAGTCCTCTAGGTTGGGGTTTGAAAATTTTTCCCTTAACTAAATGGCAATCTTCCTGCATTTCCCGCCGAAAATCGCTGCCATCATACTTTTGAGCTCAATGCTTTGATTGGACGCTCTATGTTAGGCGGAATTCCACACGAATACCGAGTTGGAGCTCGCAGATAGGAACTGGTGTGACCAAAATTGGGCAAAAGTCGGGATGATTGCCGGTCCGGCATCATGCCGAAATATGATTGGTCGAAGGTCAGGACCTGACAACCAATCACGACCTAGCATTGGCCGAATGCCAGTTGCGAATAGCGCATCCGGATCAAAAACAGTGATTTCGGGTAATCGCTCTACTAGACGGTCTGGGGGTTAAAGTACTGTCCTCTGCGATAGGAGTGTGAAGTCAGTAAGATTCCCCCAGGCGATCTGCATGCCCATATTCATGTTAACAGCCTTCCTCCAAAGGAGGACGGATTCACGGATTGATACACAGGATCAAGGCTATTGCCCCAGTTTCCCGGATCGGTTTTGTCCTTTTCGTCAGTGGCTGTCGTTCACCTGAAAGGTACAAGTGGAAAAGGGGTGTAGCACTGCTCTTTATGTTCTCAGCGCGGGACAGTATGCTTGCCAACGCGATGACTCGCATAAATGAATGTCTAATAGTGCTTTAAACTGGGTTCTAGAAGGAGCGTGGACAACCGTCGGAGAAAGGTCATCCCACGCAGCTACTACCCGAAATGAGAAAAATTTTCGTCTGATAACTATGTGCGCTCTGAGCTTGAAAATAAATTTACTGTGTCCCCGCCTTGTGTTTGCTGGGTCAACGGTGAAAAACCTGTTGGCCCATCTTTGTTCAAACACGGAATAAGTAAGAATTAGGTCTCCTCGGAGGCGACGGTACTCCAGGAAAAAAAGAGATCAAGCATCGCTAGACGCGTTTCGCAGTCCACGGATTTGAGGCCGACAACCATTCTCGTAGCGGCTCGCTGGACACGCTCAATGAGGGTGACGTCTTTCCTGCATCCTGAGTAGACAACTTGGTTGGCGTTTTCTAGGAGCGGTCTGACGTATGCCCCATAGAGTATTTGGAAGTCCATGCGAGTAATACGGGAGAAGGTGCGTTGGATCATCCGTAAAATGGCGAATGCCTTTTGGGCCAATTTCTCATGGTGCGGTGAGGAGGACAAGTTTGAGGAGACCCAGATGCCCAGACCCTTTTTGGCATCTATCCTCATGATGTTTTCTGGTCCTTTCTCACCATGCATAACAAAGGCATTTGATGAATTTCCTCCAAACGACATGTGGACGCACTTTTCGTCATTCAGAGGAAGGTGCCAGTCCAACGACCACTGCTTGGCAGCGTCTACATCCATTTGGAGGGCACTGGCATTGGAACTCCAGGATCACGCTCCTTCTCGAACCCAATTTAAAGCACTATTAGACATTTATTTATGCGAATCCTCGCGCTGGCGAGCATACTACCCCGCGCTGAGAACATGAAGAGCAGTGCAACACCCTTTTTTCACTTGTGCCTTTCAGGTGAACGACAGCCACTGACCGACAAGAACAAAATCGACCCGGGAAACTTGGGCAAAAGCCTTGATCCTGTGTATCAATTCGTGAATCCGTGAATGTTGAGCTAGAGATATCAGGTTCCTGGAAGTAGGGAGATCTGGGATAGCTCGCTTCAGAATGCATTCAATCACCCTGCATGGCACGCTAATGAAGCTTATAGACCTGTTGTTGCCAGTCGATAGTCGTTCACCAACATGACAATCGCTTCCCTCCAAGCAGAAGTAAGGCGGCCTTCGTTAGGCGACTGACGAAACACCAAGTATAAATGATTTGCCAGTGTAGACGACGTTTCCTTGAGGATCCCTAGGTGGACCTCGTAGGTTCCTAACGCGCAGAATGAGTTGAGCTTGTGCAAGAGTTGACGAATTCCTCCACCGTGAAGGCCACGTCGGTTGGAGGTTCTTCGTAGTTCCGCCTTGACAATAGTGTATGTGTCGAGGACGACGGGGCTCGATATAGAACTGCATAGTGTTCTCTTTAAACCTCAGATACCATTGCTGGGTCACTCGTGGGTTCCCCGTTCCTGTGCCTCAGATGGAATCTGATGGGTTGTTTCTGTGGCCATGTGGCATGCATTTAAACAGTACGTTTTTGTTTCTACGAGCGATGTCTAGGATGGTGGCTTGTTTTCGTATATTCCAATGGCGGGTTTCTGATTTACAGCGGTTCCGCATTTAACGAAATGCCAGCTCATCTTCTGTATCCCCTGTAGTCGAGTTTATGAAAAAAGGTTGGGATCGTTTTTCCAGAAGTCGCCGAATCCTTTTTGGCAGCCTGCGGTTCATCCAAGTGCGTGCTAACTGTTTTGGGTCGAACGTTGCGTCAGCTTCGTGAACTTTCTGGACCATGTTCCTATATAGATCTTTCACAGGAGCTGGTCTCAGTGTGACTTGTTCAAGGAAGATGCGCATTCCTGAGAATTGCGCATTCCTGAGAAGTCTGCACGGCAGAAGTCTCTAAACCACGTTTGAGGTTTGGGATTTCTGGCCCAATAGCAGATGAAATTAAAGGTCAGCACACAGTGGTCGCTATGTCGCAGTGGAGCGTTAATTGTTACCTGATCAACGAAGTGTCTTTCGTTGTTGATGACCAAATCCAGGAGGGATGGTAGTTGGCCTGCGCGGTATCTGGTGGGTGCAATGGCGTGTTGAGTCCAAGCGCTCTGTTAAACGACTTCAATAAGCGCCGCTGCAAAGAGTCCGCTTGATTCGACGCGCTGGAGCTCCATCCAGGAGGACCTGTTAGAAAAGGTCGGCCCTAAAAACCACTCACTCCGATCGACCAACGGTTAACTGTGACTGCCAGCACATTTCTCAATACGTTCGAAATACTTTTAAAACCAGAGAGTTTCGCGCTACTCAAAAGACGTCGGCTGTGCGCATCCGCGTCAGGAGTGAGACAGTAATACCCCATTACTTGGACCTCGGGTTAGGCCCACACCCTGCAACTTCGCGGGTCAGGCTTTCGAGTCAGAAGCCAAGGGCTATGTCTCCGGATAAACCGTACACCCACTGCCTTGTGGGTCAGACTTAAGAGTTGAACGTTCAAGAACAACCCCCTACCCCGGCCTAGGCAACCGGAAAGTATAACTTGCCGGCACGGTTCTGTGTCCACCGATGTCCCTCCCAAACTGTCAGTTGTCTGACCGGAAGACCTTGTGTCCCCCGCTGCCTGTTAACAATAAACAAGAGAGCACCTCTCTAAAACTATGAAATCCTTTCTGAATAGGAGCGTTCAACGTCCGTACTCTTTGTCAAATTAAAAAAGTGGCAATGCTCCGTGAAACTTCATATTACCTTAAAATTGATGTATGCCGTGTCTCCGAAACTCATGTAAGATCCACGCATGGTTATGCATTTCAGAACACCAAGGACGAATTCAGGTCTTTCACATTTCTCCCTCCGTGTGACCGGTGATCCAGAATATACAGTGTGTGAGTTGCACTCAGCTCCAGGGCTGAACGTGCTTTGCTGGACTGGATCCTAGTAAACAATCGCCTTTCCGCCGTCTGGTTATCCAGCTCAATCAAGCCCAATAGATCCCAACATAAAAACGGTGCCTTTTATGCCGTCGCCTTATGCCACAACGGACTACGGTTCTGACGCTGAGAGGGATACCTTATATCGAAAGTTATCCGGGCTCGTTCGTCAAGCAAGAAGCACACATTGGGTTGGGTTCATCTGTAACACCTTTTCGGTGCCTAGCGGCCATGCCGCCCAAAGGGGGCACGAGGGCAAGGATGCTGCCAGGTTGCTCAAGCCTCGACAGGCAAAGTCGAGATGCGAAATTCGGGTTCGAACCACGGACCTTCCTGTCCGTAAAATGGCGCTCTAACCACTGAGCTATCCCACCCCCACTGATATCGTGTTACTCTTGAGCGATATGAATGAGCATGTCGGTTGTCTAAGCTCCTTGGAATCACATTTTGGGCGGTCTAGTCGGAGTCGATGTTCGTCGCACAGACATCTGAAAGCGAGTTCTCCAACTGTGTGCTGTTCATGAACTGATTCTATCGAATGCGAACTTTCAGCACAAACGCTCGCATTGCGTAACCTGGCAGCCACCAACTGCAAATCAACCGTGGACCTCTTGGGACCACGTGGCCACCGACTACCGGTGGATAGCTCCAATTGAAGACTGCCGTCCCGCATGGAGTGCGAAACTGGATTCCGATCACGCCCTAGTGCGTTCAAACATGACAGTTCGTTTCCCCTCTCAAGTCAGCAAGAAGCATGCCGATCCGCCATCTTCGAAAAACTACCATAGCTAGCCCAACAACTCTACAATAAACCAATACTGTTCTGATAGTAAGAACTTGGATAAATCGTGGTAAAATGTGAAGGTAACTATGTAAGCAGCGTTTGGTGTTGTCTGCATGACTTCTCCAATTCGACCACAATACCACTGGATGTCGCCAAGATCGCTATCCATAGTTGATGCAAAGAAATCTACACCAGCACTCAACGAGTACGACGGCGCGCGCAAATTTCTCAAGCATCAAATAGTGAAGAGTGTAAAGAAAGAACGAGAGCTCTGGTGGATATCGAAATTTCGGGAGATGGAGAAAGTTTCCATTACTGGAAACAGCCGTGTCCCATACCAACTGATACGATCGACTGGCCTAGGAAAGCAACGGTCAGTGAAACGATAAGTGAAAAAGATGGCTCATTAATTCATTCGCAAAAACCTCGACCGGAAAGGTGAGCCGAATACTTCAGAACAGTTTAGCTGTTCTCCTGCAACCCAGCCTCTGGAGAAAGTGCACACGGGCAAACGGAATGTAAATCTTATTCGCCGTTCAAAAGAAATAAAGTGCGGAATATCGGTGGAGGGAAAGCATTTCGCCGCGGAGTTCCTTATCAGAAAAAAATCATCTAAACGGTTATCATCATCATCATCATCATCA